AAGAAGGGTCCAGGCCCGAAACGTCAGCCTTCCTGCTCCCCTGATGCTGCTTGGCCTGCTGTGTTCATCCAGCTCTACACCTTGTTATCTCTGCCTACTGTTAGATGTGATTCTTCCATTCAGCAGCACTTGCTGAATAATCATGAGCCTGCTAATAGCTATACCACCAACAAATTAAAGTTAATCAGTCAAGCTTGTAAGTTGGCTCGTTTACACTTGTTAAAAATGACATACACTCATGTAAGAGTAGGAAAATGTTTATGTAGTGCATCGTTTTAGAACTATGCAGGAGCTTGGTGAGCTTATTACATGTTTTTTAGAAGTGCCTCAATTGTTCAGTCAGGTTGCCAACCAATCAGCACCCATTTCAACTGCAGGAAAAATGTTATTACCGCTTGAAATCAAAAAGCTTTGGTATCTTATCTCTTTTCAGCAGTATTTGAGGTCTGGAGATGCAATTGTTTCTAAAGATTTACTGAAGCCATAGTTTACTCCATTTCTGAGCTATGAATGTGGCATCTGTGCAAATCTTCCTCTATAACATCCCTTTGAATCCATGGACCTTTCATCAATGATGAAGCTGGTTTGATTTTTTTGAAGTTTGGGTAAAACAATGAGGCACATATGGAAACATGAAGATCTGGGGTTTCTGGCCCCTTCAGTGACTTGTAATGATGAAACCTATACTCTCAAACTATTTGTCACTGAGTGACAGCTTTCATGAACAACTCAATTATATTCAATCATCTGTTTGACGTTGTTACTAATATCAACAAAATCTGAAGTAACAATATTTGAAACTGTGTAGATTAACGACAGGACTTGCAAATATCTGCTTTCTCAAGCTTGCTAATTTAGGAGAATTATTTCCTTTGCTCCAAAACGTTGTGAAGACGGCAGTCTGTGGATTTACTTTGTCAATATCGGCAAAATGTTGCTGCCAGAACATCATTTTGCAAAAACATATTATTTAAAGCATGACTGACATCTCCACGTCTGATGTTTATCTGGGAGAGTGCAGGCCTCTGGGCCCTTTCTGGACGCCCCCCACCCCAAACGCACGCAGCAGCGGAACCTTTCTTCGGGGAGCCGGGTTTCTGGGGACTCGAGCGGGCGCGGTGCCGGAAGGGCCGTCTGTTGGTGAGCCCCGGGCTCGGAGACGGGTGGCGGTCAGGGACGGAGGATTCCGGTGACGATGAAGCCGGCGGTGGACGAGATGTTCCCGGAGGGCGCGGGGCCGTACGTGGATCTGGATGAGGTTTGTGAGGATTGGGGGAGAGAGAGGGGGTTCGGGGTAAGTGGGAGTTCTGTGGAAAGATGGGGAGGGGGTTGGTGAATATTTGACGAAGTGGGACTCGGGGCGGTGGGTAAAGGAGACCAGAATGAACTGTCAGGGACAGGCCGCCCGCGATACAGGTTTAGGAATTGAACAGCAACCTCTAGGACCCTGCTGTATGCAACTTTGCAGGGGGACAAAATCCCAGGACGTTAAACACAGTTGCATTTTCTTTGATGCATCTTATTAAAAAAAAAGGGGGTGTCCAAGTGGTATCTGGCTGACAGTCATCAGATTGGATAAGGAATCGTTTTGCTTTCCAGTTGGTGTAGGAGTGCAGTGAGATATACGATGAATGTGTTGTCTGAAGCGTGTCGGGGTAAGTCTTGTGATGGAGCCTCCAGGAACAGATAGTTGGCGAGCCAGGGCCAGTGCCGAGTGGTTGTGGATGGCAAGGAGGGAGGAGGAGTGAGAGCAAGGAAACAACAATCAGTGTTTACATAGCTCCGTAAATGTAAACCATCCCACGGTGCTTTGTGGAAATCTTATCACTCAAAAATTCGCAGGTAGCTTAATCAGGAAATAAGAGGGGAGGTGAAAAGTAGGTTATTTGAACAAGTAACTTATAGGAGGAGAGTTTGAAGTGAAGGAATTCCAGAGCTTAGCACCCAGGCATCTGAAGGAATTGTTCCAATGATGAAGGCAGGTGGTATTGTCATGGAGGATGTATGCGATCAGAAGCTCATCTTGAAGTCAAGTAAGAGACCTGTGATCGAGCAATTAAAATTAGGGATGCTTCAGTTTCCAAATTTAAAGAAGTGCAGATGTTGTGAGGTTGGAGGAGTTCACTATGATGGGAGAAGTGAGGTCATGAGGGCATTGAACATGAGAGAGAATTGAGACTTGCTTTGTTGGGATATGTAGGTCAGTGGGATCAGGGAAGATAAGGGTTTGGAACTGTGAGTGAGTTAGGATGGAGCTGTCAAATTCCAGATGAGCTCAAGGAGGTTGAGCATAAAAGGCCAGTCAGCAGAATATAGGAAACACCGAGCCTAAATAATAAAGCAGTTCAGCTCAAGATGTGTTGAAAGACATCATTTCACACAGGTGGAAGTAGGTTGGTGATGGAGGACATACGGGATCAGAAGCTCATCTTAAAGTTAAGTAAGAGGCCAGGGTCATAAATGATTTAGTCTCAAGTAATTGCCCACAAGAGAGATGGAGTCGGTGGCTACTGAACAGAATTTGTGGAGGGATTGAAGGCAATGACATTTGTCTTCCCAGTATTAAGTTTGTTGAAATACATACTTATTGAAAACAGAATATCAGATGAGCAGTGTGACAAATTAGAAGCAATCAGGAGTCAACAGAAGTAGCAGTGACATAAAAACAGAAGGTTCTGGAGAAGCTCAGCAGGTCTGGGAGCATGGAGAAAGAAACGAAGTTCACATTTCAAGTCCAGTATGATGCTTTCTCCAGCACTTTCTGTTTTTATTTCAGATCTCCAGCTTCCGTAGTGTTTTTACTTTTATTGAACTGGTGTTGAGGTTGAGCTAGGTGAAAAGGAAGAAGTCACATATCAGATATACAGAGCAGTAATACAAACGCAGTGTTTCAAAAATATTCATCTGGAGTCCTGTTTTCAGTTCTGGTGCTCACACTTCAAGCAACGTGTATATGTTAAATTAGGTCATATTCTGGGAGGTTGAGTTGTATAATTGAGGGGATTATGTTACTACTGAGCCTGGAAGAGTGCACTGTTACTGTATCTCCACTACTCCATGAAATAAAATAAAAATGCTTTTTTTCCAATTTGCAAACATGAACAATTAAATAAACCCTTTATAAATTGCATTTTTAACCAAATTATAATAACTAGAGTTTTTAATAAACACATTTCATAGTTTGTTATCAAAACAAAACCTCATTAATAAAATGCATTAATTGATTAACATACATGGTGAGGTATACAGGACTATAAATGCTTATCCCTGTAAACATCGTAATTACGTACAATCTTCAGGAAAGTGGGGGGGATTTTCTGCAGAGCTCAACTTTCTGAAAGTAACACTGGTCAATGAGTTATTCTTGAAAATAGAAGGATAAAACATAAGATGTTCTGGATTCTATTTGCTGTTCTGTCACGTGGAGTCAGGTAAATTTTGCATTAAGTAATGAATTAAGTGCATTAATCTTGCATGGTTATCCTAAAGTCTTGTAGACACAGCTTGCTCAGGAAGCACAATCCCGAGATGTTCTTTCAGTCACTGTTTCAAAAAAAACCAAAGAGGTTTCATCCTGAACTGATGTAGTGTTTTCTTTATAGAAATGAGAGATCAGCTAGGCAGTTTGTATGTAGCGGGCTTTTCTCCAACTCCAAGTCTCAGCAGATTTTGCTACAACTGAACCAGGTAAAGATAGTCACTGTTCAAAATTGCCCCAGCAGTGTCTACGGTAAAACAAGCAGTTATCATCAGCCATGTGATTTCTAGGAAGCTTTGTTTTACAAAAAAAACCTTCAGAGTGCCCAGGGAACTTTCAGTGACCTCTTACAAGAAGCCACTTCAAATATGTCTACAAAATGTGAAATAAATTTATTTTTTCTCAATCCTTCAAAACTTCAGTCATCCGAGCCATACTAAGTATAAAGCAAAGTTGTCACAATTGGAATATAATAGGATTCCGTAGAGTACCTACAGAAAAAAAAACATTTCCTTAAGTGGGATTAAAAACAAAAGAGAGAATCTTAAAATTAGAAACAGACCACCAACAAAGAGAAAAGAATGATGGAAATCTGAAACTCTCCCTCAGATGACTGTGGATGTTGAATTTTGCAATCTGAGATTGATTGTTTTTTGTAGGGTGAGTATCAAAAAAAATGCAGCAAGTATGAATAAACAACAATGATTTTCAGCTGAAAATCAATGATGGAAGTGGCTCAATGGCACTCCTGGCCTACTCTTATTCTTATGTTCCTGTTGCAATGGAGCCTTCATTATTTGCACTCCTTTCTTCTGCCAGATGTATTGCAAATCACCCCCATATATAACTCTGCCTGGTTATCTTTTGCTTTTAGTGAACTTCTTTTGTTGTCTTTAAGAACATCACAAATATTCATTTGTTGTTGGTTATTACATACATATCTTCATTCTCCTTCTCATTATTTCTGTGCCACATATGGGACAAAAAAATTTCAGGACTCCTGGAAAAAATGTTTTATAGATGCTCATGAATCAAACAAACATTTGAAAGTGTATTTAGACTGGGACAATTGTGCATGTACAGATTTTGGTTGATAATTCCTCCCCAAATCATTTGTTTTGATAGCCAATTTGCCAAGGCCTTAAACTCTGAACTTCTGTACCAAACCCTCTTTCCTTCTCTTCCTCTGAGATGTTCCTCAAAGCTTATCCCTTTCATGAAACTTTTGGTATTTGATTACAATATCCATATCTTTATGTGACTGAGTGTCAAATATTACTATGAAATAGTCGTATGAAGTGTATTGGAATTTTATTTCATTACTCCACCTGAGAGAAAAGGCATATTATTTGTTTCCTGCTATAATAAAATGGGTGAATACAGTTTAAACTCCAAACTGTTGCACCTTTCTGGTACTTCTCTTATTAGTGTTTTATTTAATAATAAAGTCATGAATGTGCTGTTCTGGGAAGTGAAGTCTAGCTCCTACTCTTATGAGTTGGTTCTGATATTTTAATGTTACTTTTTCACCTTTTACTGATATTCTCGTTTACAGTAAGGCAATGAGTTGTACTTGATTATGAATCTGTCGGCAGTACTCCAGGATATTTTCAAATGGGCATTCTTCATGTGAATGTCTAGATGGGAGTTTTCGCAGCTTGATTGTAGTCACAACATGGCCACATTTGTCCTGTCCTTTACAATGCCTATAATTGTACTTTCCACCTGGAATCAGGAGCAGAAACTATGGCTGATGGTTTATTTCATCCCTTTCCTTTGTAACTGTCCTGTAGTCACCATACACCTATCCATTTAGAATTGAATCATAGAATAATACAGTATAGAAGAGAACCTTTGGCCCATTGGGTCTGTACGGCCAATCTGGAATTATCTGATTCTCTAGCACCCTATATATTTAAGTCATTGGGAGAAGTTAGAATGTGCTATTTTTCCAACGTAGATGAAAAACTTAACAATCTTTGAAGCCCACAAAATATATTGAAATAACTCCAGTCTTTTTCTTTATTTTTCAGGCAGGAGGAAGTTCAGGACTTCTGATGGATCTAGCAGCTAATGAAAAAGCAGTCCATGCAGATTTCTTTAATGGTGAGATAATCTTCAGTAACATCTTGGGACCATTTTACACACTCAGCATTTTTGTCACAAATGTATAGTGGCTGTTTAAGTAGTTTCTGCTTTAATTTGGAAATACCTTTACATGTAGGAGATGTTGAAGTTTGAAACTCTCCCAGATCAGACAGCATCTGTTGAGAGAAATTTAATATTTTGGGTCGTGATAACCCATCATTAATCTTTCTTTTGTTTTTCAATCATTTATAAAGGATGTGGGTTAATAGTGGGTAAATGAACTTAAGGTGCAGATCAGCTGTGATCTAATGGGAATGGTTGGTGTACAGGCTGAAGGAACTGAATGTCTTATTCCTATGTTGTGGTGAGGGATTCATTTTCATTCTTCTGTGACATTCCCTCATATGCAACCATGTGTCCTCTACATGTTTTTGATTGTTTGAAATATATCTCTAATACTTTTGTCCCATGTTGTAGTTATTTCTCGAAATCTCCTACTTTATCTTGTTCTAAGTCTAATGTCTTGATCTGCTAAGTCTCAATTTTTTATGAGTTCAGCATTATCTCATCTGTTTCACTTTCTCAAATCCTCTGTCATCACAACTCTGGTACTAAATCCTCTTCACTAGTAAAGTCCATGGTGGTTGTAAGTAATTCTCCGTATTTTTCATTTCTCATTATGTTAAAATTCGTCTAATGCTGATGTATTTTTGTGAACTGCTGGCCATTATCATTTAGTAAGAGTGGGGTTATCAGAATGGTTTTCCATTACTCGCCCTTAAAAATGGCTGAATTCTAAGCAAAGTGATTTAGTCAACATTTAAGTTACCTTTTCTTAAAAAAAAGAAAATGACCCTGACACAAAAATGTTTTATTTAAAAGTAGAAAACAATAAACTGGTGTTTGCAAATGGTGCACTTACTTTTTAAAAAATATTTTCTGTTTTGTTTTCCAGTCTAGTCAATTCAAAATTGGTTTTCGTGTTACTTTGCCCAAAATTACATTTTTTTATAAAGTATGTCTATACGGCATAAGATGGTGCAGTTATGTCTTGGGATGTTCAGCTGTTATTGGTTTTCCCTACAGCTAGATGGCATGAGCTGTTTGTTGCAGCAGGTGTCAAGTCTGATTTAGACGCTGTTTAAAATAGTGGTGCTTTTCAAGCATCCGATTGTAAAATTTCAGATCAAGTGAATTTGTTTGCTGGATATTAGATGTCCAGTTTTTACGTCCTGTATCTGAAGATGGATATGTGATAAGGTGGCGAGCAAAAGTTCAGCTGCTCTGTCCAGGCTTCACCCCTTATGAGGAAAGTTCCTGCAATATTTTTTCACTTGCTACACCAGCCATCCTCTGGCTTCTTTGAAAAAAACTTTTTAAACTTGAGACAATCTTTCACATCTTGGTAGTTCAGTTTGCATTGCATTCACACCATTCTTAGAACCTTGACAGTCACCAAAGAGCAGTTGCAAGAACAATAGATCAGGATTTCACCATTTTAAAGTCAGACTTTACCTGTCAAGTCTGTGAATTCATTCTTAATTTTATTAAATAAATAAACTGAAAGGGTGTATTTAGCTCCATTTAACTCGAGATATTAAGATTTGAACAGGAAAGAGTCTAATATACCATAAATACAGTGTTGCACTGCATGTGTAGTTTATGATTTTAACATGCAATTTTGCGAATAAAAGTTTAGATTATTTTTAGAGTTGCAGCTAACTACATTTGATTTACCATGAGGATTCCATTCAGAATCCCTGTAATGCAACCTCAGTTTATTATATCATCAATAATTTTTTTTAATAATTACAACAAATGTTTGATACTGCTAGGATTTCACTTCATGACAAGTAACGATTAATTACTCTTTATTACTAGCCTGAAGGTCTTATAAAACAAATAAACTATGTTTCTATTAACTGTTTTCTCCAAACAGACTGTTTTCCTGTAGACAATGCATTATTTCTAAGTTCAAGGGGTTTCATCACTCAGTTATTACTAATAATTTGGATTGCAGTGCCTGAAAGAGTGAGAGGAGATTCACTAGTAACCTTTATTTTGAAAAAAAGTACCATCTTCGGAAACAGAATTCTTAAGGGCTATACAGAAAATGGCATAGAAGTAGGATTAGTTCAAATAGCTCTTCCATAAAATACAACATTGATATGATGGGCTGAGTGACCTACGTACTGTATAATTTGGCCCTTCATGCTTCTTTGGTAATTGTCACCTTTTCACTTCATGCTGACGTCTTGTATGCTTTATACATTGTGATGACAACTGTTGTATTCTCCGTTAAACTGAGTTGAGTACAATATACTGTTCTTACTTGAAGAATTATTTTTATTTAATTCCTCATGACTACTTGTACTGCCTTGACTTCTGTATTCTTCAGTGGAAACTATCTCTTTCTAAATATTTCAACTAAGTGTTATTTCAAACAATCTGACTTATCCAATTCCCCCTCACCAAGTTTGGCAGTTCTACTAGGGCTGCAAAAATATTTATTTACTTGATTTTACTACTTAACGTACTTATTTTGGTTCCAAAATTTCCACTATCAACAAGCCAACATCTAAATGCTCATTTATCCACATTTCATATATTAAAAAATAAAATACTTCCCATTTAAGACATTAAGGTCATTTAGACTTTTGAATTTACTTTTATAGAGAGCAGTGGAGACTGAGTCATTAACACAACTTTGAATACTCTCAAACGTTTGATTTACAAGCAAGTTATAGGGTGCAGGCAGGAAAGTGGAGTTGAGGCCATGGCAGATCTTGGAGTTGAGGCCTATAGTCTTACAGAAATGTATAGCAACCTATATCAATCAAATGGTGCAGGGTGTAGCATATTGGCTGGATAATAAGAAACAAGCATAGACAGATCATTTTCTAGTTGACAGAATGTAATGAGTGGTGCACCACAGCGCTGACACCTCAGCTTGATACAAATATAGAACTGACTTGGATGAAGGACTGAAAGGATGGTTGCAAGTTGTGAAGGACAAAGACGCTAAAAAGGGATATAGGTAGGTAATTGAGTGAAGATCTGGTGAATTAAGTATAACGTGGAAAAATGTGAAGTTGTCCGTTTTAGCTGGAAGAAGGTTGGTAGCTTGCAGAGCTTTGAGGTGTGGAAGCATCTAGGTTCACTATTGCATGAATCACAAAAGGTTAGTGTGCAGGTGAGCTCCCGGGTGAGGACGGATGAACTGGCTCCACTTCTTTGTTCACCCGTACCCTTGATTGGTCACAAGGTTAATTTTTTAAAACAAGAAACCCCCTTGTATCGATGCTTTTCTTGTAAACAAAATACATTTGTTTTGAAAAGGAGTCAGTTTAATCAAGCTTATTGTATACTAAATATAAGAATAACTAATAGTGCATCACGTGTACACTCTGATTAGAAGTGAGTCCAAAAAAAAGTTAAAAGCGTAACAGATCAGCTGCCAAGCCAGTTGTGAAGAATACACAGTAGACATTGAATGAATTAACTTTATTGTCACGTACTCAAACGGGTACAGTGAAAAGTTTCTAAATCACCATTTACAGCACCATCTTAGGTACAAATGTACTTAAGTACCCTCCTTTGTTACAGAATAGAGAAACGAAGAAAAAAAGTTACATTCCAGCTATACACGTTATGATCATACGTTAGAAAAAACAAGAAGCAAAGTTAAAAAGATAAACATCACAGCCTGTCTCTAAAGGCTCTCTGCAGCAGACCAATGCATGAGCTTCCACGTGGTCTGCCAGCTGGCTGCCCTTGTCCCGCCTGGGGCCACTGCAGCCGCGCTCCCGCCTGGGGCTGCTGGTTGCTGGCATTGATAGTTGATCTGTTGATTTTTGGCTTTGTAGGTTAGTTGAAATTATTTTTTCCTGTGTCCTTTTTGGCTGGCAGCTCTGAGAATGAGAGAATCCTGGGGGCCTGTTTCCTTTTGATTGGCTAGCTGACCTCTAGAATTCAATGAAAGTCCTTTACCTGCAACATGGAGGTGACTAGTAGTGGTTCATCGACTGTGACCTTCACAGCATACCAGCGCTTGCATCCATGCTAGTACCTCAACGCAATAGCACATCTTTTCCTGCTAGTACACAATGCACGTTCAAATTGGCTTTTAACCCCTGTTCCTGTGTATTCTCAACAGGGAAAAATGCAAAACATGTCTCTCACCCTGACTACTGTTTTTCTCTCCCATCATATTTGCAATCTGAAATAACTCCGAGAGATTATAGTTCACTTCATAGTGCCTTTCTCCCTCTTAAATCCATCCCTTTGAAGCCTGCATTACACCTCATCAGTTGTGATATTTTAGGGTCTCTCTCTCTCTTTCTGTCTCTCTCTCTTCTCTCTCTTTTTCTCTCTCTCTCTCTCTCTCTCTCGCTGTCTCTCTCTGCCCCTGCCCCCAAAAAGCCACTGAATTGACATCCACAGTAAACTTTTGGCTGTATGTCCTTTTTCAATAAGAAAAGCCATAATTATAAGTTCATACAGTTGATCACCTGTGATCATTTCACGGTACAGCAAATACTTAGGTAAGAATGTTATCGTGTGTTGTGAAGGGAATTGAATAACAGTAGCAGCTTATTCTTCCATAATACAAGGCATGGTAAAACCATTTGGAACATTGTATGGAGGGTTGGTTTCATTCAGGGAAGGATTTAAATGCATTGGAAGCCAATCAGATACGGTTCACTCGGCTAGCATCTTGAATATGTGAGCTGTCGTATAAGGCAAGATTAAACCAGCTAAGTCTGTATCTTCTGGAGTTTGGAAGAATAAAAGGTGACTTAATTGAAACATAAAAGTTTCTGAGGGGCTTGACATCAAAAGGTTGTTTCCCCTTGCAGGAGAAAATAGAACTAAAGGTTCCACATTTATGCCAGATGTTGTTACCTCTTGCTAATTCATTTGCATACAATAGCTCATTAAATTGTATCCATACCTGCAGGAATAACTAGTGGAGGGGAATGGGAGATGGGGGAGGTGTCACCATTCAACTGCCCACT